TGATAGTTTGAAGTGAACAGTGAGAGAACTCAGCCATACATATACATGTATCCATTCTCCCCCAAAACCCCCTCCCATCCAGGCTGCCACATAACATAGACCAGAGTTCCATGTATTATACAGTAGGCCTTTTCTGGTTATCCATTTTAAACATAGCTGTGTATACGTGACCATCTCAAGTTCCCTAACTATCCCTTCCCCCTGACCACCATAAGTTCATTATCTAAGTCTGTGAGTCTTGACCATTAATTTTTTTATAGAAAGCATTAGGTGATCAAATATCTGGTCCCTTGATGCCAGGGTAGTTGCTTACCTAGCCTGAGTCCACTGTGTCCCTTGATATCAAATCTTAATAGCCTGGTCCTATTTTTCCTTTTAGGAGGTTGTACTTGTAAGATAAATAGCAAAGGGTAATAGTCAGTTCCCAGTTGTCCATAGTACTTAATGCCAATTTTTGCCTTGCATGTGCATCCATGTGTATGTTCATTACTTTATAAAGAGCTGTAGATATGAAAAACAGTTTCAAGTTGTTTAGATATTATTAACTTTATAGGAGTTGGTGATAACTTTATAAGTTACAGAAACAGTAGTCAAAATTGCCAATAGGAGTAACAATGTCATTAGTAAAGACTGAAGCCAAAACCCTCCTAAACCATACCATTTTCCTAGTATTTTCCTTAGATCAGGAAAAGGATCTTTTATAGGGAAAAATTGATTCTCAGGTGTCATAAGACAAGTCACATAAGACTCATCAGGTATAAAAACCCAATATTCAGTATTATAGCACGTTTCCCCCTGAGAAGGAGTTAGAATATCCAGGACCATGCAATCCTGTAGGACCATTTTTCTTATTGTGGAAACTTCCAAACTGAGCAAGCTAATAACTTGATTACCATCATTCAGAGCTTGCTGAGTAAATTTCGTTAAAGTCTCTATGTGATTAATCATATCTTCCCTTCCAAGTGAAGGAAAGAGTATCACAGCCAAATGGTCATACCATTGGAAAGCTGATTGATGCTTTAATGCCAGCATGCTCGCATTAAAGGCAGATTGGCAGGGGCTATTTCCAAGGCTTCCTATAGGTGACCTTGAGCCCAGGGGAAATCAATTGTGCGTCTTCCTAATCAACCAGGGGAAGGCCAAGCCCAAACGTGTTCCATAAATCCACTGCTACCCAACATTTAACATCTAGGATATAGGAGTACTTACAAGCAGATTCAGAACAAGTGTCATTAATTGGCCAGGTAGGAGAGGCTCACTCAGTGATATTGGCAGTAGCATTAGCTTGCATAGTACTAGAGTCTCTTCCTCCTAAAGTAAAATTTGTAAGAGCCGTCCAGCTAGAACCTTGGAAAAGAGAAAGCCACCAGGATAAATAGGAGTATTGGTCATAGGCAGTTGGCCACAAACCCAGCAACTGGGTTGATTTCTTTGAAACTTGCAAACAATTGAATCCAAGGAAGAAATATATTTGGTTCATAAGTAAAAGTATGACTGACTATCAAAGTAACTAGTATACCAACCTGGTGTGGCATCTTGGTTCAGCTGCCTACTTTAGATGTTGTCTTCTCATCCTGGTCTGGTAGTGATGGTCTGAGGCAGGTGTCAGAAATAGGATCTGCAGTTCTTTCGGAAGAGAAGGGCTGATTGGGCCCCTTCCATCGTGACTATCAATGTTCCTTTACCTGACTTTTCCAGTATGCATAATGTCCTGTTACAAGTCATGGAGCATCTGTTCTTCATCCTAAAATGGATTACTGTGATAGTAAGTTTCAGAAACAATCTTTATGGTAATATAGCAAGAAGGAAACCTCTGAGAAGTAAATCTCAGAGGTAGTAAATACAAAAAAACCTTAATGACAACAACAGTAGAAATTAATGGCCCATTAAACATGATTTTTTTATCTCTACTAAAGTAATTACTCTCATTTCTACCAAACATAGCCAAATTAAGACTCAATTATTTGCAAAATAAGTCTGTTTTGATAAACTTGGTCTGATTATTTACATAAGTGTAATTGATCATACAAGTCCTTTTAAGATGACTCTCCTAGAACTCTTTATAAAGAATCTCAAATTAAAGCTATTTTGGAATTGTGAATCCTTTGGGGACTTTTGCATATCAATTAAAATAGGTGCGATATTTTAGGATGGGAGCTCTCTGTGCTAAGTTGCTTCAGTCATGTCTGACTTTTTGCAAGCCCGTGGACTACAGACTGCCAGGCCCTTCTGTCCAGGGGCCTATCCTAGACTATGGGATTATCCAGGCAAGAATATAGGAGTGGATTGTCATGCTCTCCTCTAAGGGAGGTCTTTACAATTCAAAGGATAGGATGGGAGCTCTCTAAGTCTTTACAATTTAGAGGATCTAAGATATTAGCCCTAACCCTACAAATATTTCCCCCTGCTAACCTAATTTTTAGAAAAGAGAAAGTAAACCTTGCAGGCAGGGATCCAGAAGACTGACTGACATGATAAAAACTGATGTTCTACAGGCTTTTCCTAATTGTGCCCACAAAACTCAGTTTTGGAATGACACAAAGAGCCCCATCTTGATCATTTCAGGGCAGGTTTTCCTTTAATTCACAATTAAATAAATACTTGCAAGCTGGTATCCCCACAGGTGGCTGTCCATTTGGGAGCTATTTGGTCTTTGAGGCACAATTTCCCGTTATCAACTTGATACCCTAATTTATTTATGACATATGATCTGGTTAATTTTCTGAGGACAGTGTGATGCATTGGATGCATGCTGCTTCTGAGTCTAGCTCTCCAGAGTGGGTCAGTTCAATTTTTATATGTGTCTCAGTTTTCTCTTCAATAGTATAAAATCACCATCTACAAGATGACCCATCTTTTTGTCATGTGTCCCTGGAAGAGTAATATTTACTTAATGGTTGTAGTAGAGGTCCCTTGCTCTTCGGATCTGAATAATCTGTCTCTCATTTTACCAGAAAATGGTTTGTTTAAAACATACATCACCACCTTGTTTGTTTTTGTTTTTATCAGTTTAAATCAAATATAACAAAAACCCAGTCACCTACATTTTCCTGAGCTCCCTGCTCAAAGCCCCCTCTGGCCCCTTCCCCAAAAATGCACTGGTATGCCTCAAGATTCCAAGCCTCAATGAAGCAAAAAACAACTCCAATAACATTTTTATGGATGTTATTGAGAAGCAATGAGATCTGAATAGCAGGAGAATGCACCAGAACATTTGAACTGTACCAAGAAGCCGGAGGGGCTCAGTGTATCCACATTGATACCAAGTACAGGTTCAGGTAGATCCCAGGTACTTTCTGGTGTCCTGTCAGCTACACCATGCATATTGATGAAATGTTGATCAACAGTCAATCTAAGAAGTGGAAATTTTCATTCAAGCCAGCCTGAAGATTATCACTGATGAGAGAGTTATTTCAGAAAGCTCTGATGACTATTCTGCCCCTAAGAGGTCAAAGCACAGTTTTGAAATCAAGGATTATATGTCAAATTAGGTATGATTGACAGGACATGATCCAGATATACAGGTACAACGTGAGTGGTGCGTTATGGGTCATCATAACCCCTTACAAGATTAAGGGGGAAAATTATTTCCTAAGGAGTTGTGACCCTTTATATGTTTGAGAAGGAATGTTGCCACCTAAAGAGGCCGGGTGAATGGAGATGCACAATATATTCTAAAGGGAAGGGAGGAGAACCGAATGGACAGAGAAAGCATTTTATGTTAAAATTTTTGTCTTGTCATAAAAACTGAATTGTATCTCATCAGAGGCATGGAAATATGTACATGTAGTATTTTGTCAATTTATTTATTTTAAATATTCATTTGGTGGCACTAGTAGTAAAGAATCTTCTTGCCAATGCAGGAGACATAAGAGATGTGGGTTCTATCCCTGGGTCAGGAAGATTCCCTAGAGTAAGAAATGGCAATCCACTCCAGTATTCTTGCCTGAAATAGTCCATGGACGAAAGGAGCCTGGTGGGCTACAGTCCATGGGGTTACAAAGAGTCGAACATGACTGAGCACATAGTCACTTATTTTTAATATTTATTAATTTATTTGGCTGCATCAGGTTTAGTTGAGGCACATGGAATCTTTGTCCTGTCATCGTGCAGGATCTTACATTGCCCCACCCAAACTCTCTACTTGTGGAGTGTGGGTTCAGTAGGAGTGGTGTGCAGGTTTAGTTGCTCCAAGGCATGTGGAATCTTAGTTCCCCAACCAGTGATCAAACCCCTGCCCCCGCATTGCAAGGCATATTCCTAACTACTGAACCACCAGGGAAGTCCCATATGTAGTATTTTAAATGACTATATTTTATGCTTTAGATTGTCAAGCTAGTCAACTTTTCTGTGGTGAGAAGTTGCTCACTGTTTGTTTTCAATCATCATCACTTAGAGCTTATTTTGCATGATAATATTTTACTTTCAAGCCTTAGAGATTTTTAAGGCTGTCAATTTAACAAAACAATAAAGAGAGCATATCAGCTACAGAGAAATCCCTAAGACTGTATTTTTCAGCCTTGAACTGTGGATAGAATTTTTTGAGGAAGTTTGTAAGGTTTTTGTATTAAGAATTTATCATTATGAAACGCATGTCACTTTACAGGAAGAAAATGATAAATCCTCATTTTTTCCCCTATTTCTCCCAAGATCAAAATTAAGTATCAGAACACAATTCTTGGGAAAAAATATATCTTTCTAGTTCTGCTGTCACTTCTGATGATAAAAGAATATTTACTAGACATAAGAAAAAAACACCACAGCCTAATTAAAATAGGTGACCACCCAGCTTCATTTCACAATAGTGTATTTATTAATAGTTAAAATAATGAAACTGAGCTCTCTGAAGGAAAACTCTTTCACTCCAGAGTCTAGTATGTGTGTACCTTACATTGACTACTTCACCGAAGTGGGAAGAACCCAGGGGTGCAAAGCTATAATGTTTAATGGAAGCTTTTTAACACATTTAATATTAACACAACAACTCACTTTTCTCCTAGTTGTATATGGATCCTGGTTTGATCACGTTTTAAGCTGGGAAGAACACAAAAATGCTAAGAACATTTTAATTATATCCTATGAAGAGATGAAGAAAGTAAGTCTTTTCTGCCATTTCAACAATGAAAATTTAAGTAAAATTGAAACAGGAAATCAATCAATGAATTCCATTTTCAGATTTCAGAGAATGAATTTGATATTTTGACGAGTTACATTTTGCGTATACTTATTTATTTGCTGTTTGCTCAGGATCCTTCTAAAAACATAAAGAAAATAACTACTTTCCTCGGTTTAAACGTGACTGACAGTGAGATTAATCAAATTGTTTGGAAAACATCATTCACTGAAATGAAAAATAACACAGCCAAAGAAAACTGTGATCCAAATCACACCATCTGCGCCCTCACTTCTAACAGGAACCTGGTATTTAGGAAAGGTAAGTCAGACATGAGATGCTTTGCCTGGATTTCTATTTGGAAGTAGTTACATTTTGCCATTTTTAATGTCTCATTTCACCTTTATTCACCCCATACCTTGCACAGCAGATTGTGCATTGTTATCCCTCAGTGACGTTTTATTAAGTGAAATTCTTGAGTTACATTCTTTCCAGATGTTGAGATTCCCAGGCCCAGTTAAGAACCGACTGAGAGAGAGACACAGGTGTCAAACAGATGGAAATGATAAAGCAACTTGAAGAATGTGCTTCAGGTCTGCAGCCTAGTGACTGCTCATGATGGAGGCTGAATTTTACAAACATGCTCACTTGGTCATAGCCAGTCCAAGGCAATCCTGACCCCTGCTGGTGCAGGATACTCAGAGCGTGCTACAGAGCAGTACCGGATATGTTTTCCCCAGGAGAGAAAAAAGAGCTGATGGATGTGACTAGGGCATTTTTCCAACCTCACCAATCAAACAACTTGCCCTGCAGAAGTAAGGAGGAGGTGGAGAGAAAAGCTGGGATCGTTATCTGGGGATATTCCTCTGCCTGGAAACACAGAGTGCACATGCGCTCAGTCGTGTCTGATTCTTGGCGACCCCACGGACTGTAGCCCACTAGGCCCCTTTGTCCACGGAATTTTCCAGGCAAGAATACTGGAGTGGGTTGCCATTTCTACTCCAGGGGATCTCCTTGACCCAGGAGTCGAGCCCTCATCTCTTGTGTCTCCTGCATTGGTAGGTGGATTCTTTACCACTGAGTCACCTGGGAAGCCAGACACACAGAGAGAAGGAAATAAACATCCGTGAATTCCTAACATTTTACTTAGAAACAGTTTGGGTACCTCTGGATATGGAATTGTTTTGAAATCTTTGTGTGTTTTAATCCAGATCTGGGAAGAAAATGTTTTAACATTTTTCATATTTTTCATAACTTACAAAAACAAAATTCTTTGCATCTATATATTCAGGTTTCTTACTAAAACACACACACTTATTTGTTCTTTGCCTCAACTGTGTATGTTGTTTAGTCACTAAAGTCATGTCCGACTCTTTGCAACCTCATGGACTGTAGCCTGCCAGGCTCCTCTGTCCATGGGATTTCCCTGGCGAGAATACTGAGTGAGTTGCCATTTCCTTCTCCAGGAGATCATCCTGACCCAGAGACTGAAACCGGGTCTCCTGAATTGAAGGCAAATTCTTTTACCACCAAGCCTATAATTACTCTCAAAGAAAATATTGGCCAACTAATGTGTTGATAGACCAGATACTGTTTTAACTTTGCAGATTACTTTTGTCCTCTTGGGTGGTTCATTTAAAAATTTCCTTAGAGTTGCAAAAATAAGGGTTAGGAGAAAGAAATATTTATTACTAATAAACTATGTTCGAATGTTTACCAAATGTTTATTAATAAACTATTTTCTAAAAATTCTACCCAATATTTATTAACAAACTATCAGGTTTGTTAATTGAATAGGTTTCAAAAATTGAATAAAATACAGACCTGTCATTCAGTAGATCATAATCTAGATAGTAGTATAAGGTAATGACAACTATGCTAGTAAAATATGAGCAAATGTGAATCTATATGGATAAAGGAGAAAGTGTTTGCCTAGCAAAGTAGGTGAAGAGATCAGATCTGAAACTGGGAGCATATGCAAGATTTTACGAGGAAAATGCCAGGAGAAAATACATTCCATCAAGAGCTAATAGCCAGAAGAAAATCTCAGAACCACCATGGAATTGGGTGGTATCTCCTAGAAGGAGCAGATAGTGCCATGTGCTAAAGTGGTGGTGGTTGTTAAGTTGCTCAGTGGTGTCCCTCTCTTTGTGACCCCATGCACCCAAACTCCCCTGTCCCTCATCTGCTCCCAGACTTTGGTCAAACTTATGTCCATTGAGTCAGTGACGCCATCCAACCATCTCATCCTCTGTCATTCCCCTCTCCTTCTGCCTTCAATCTTTCCCAGCAACAGGGTCTTTTCCAATGAGTCGGCTCTTCACATTAGGGGGCAAAAGTATTGGAGCTTCAGCTTTAGCATCAGTCCTTCCAACGAAAGTTCCGGGTAGATTTCCTTTAAGATTGACTGGTTTGATCTCCTTTCTGTCCAAAGGACTCTAAAGTGGTAGATGATACATAAAGCAGAATGAGAGAGAGAAATATTATGGCCAGAGAGTAAAATCTCTGATGGACACTATGAGGTCTGTTTGCTGTTTTAAGGATGGACCTGACATAGTCAGACCTGTTTGCTAGAAAATTAAATAGAACCAGAGTAGAAAATTGATTAGAATAGAGTGAAAGCAGAAGCAGAAAGTGCAATTAAGAGGTTGTTGTAATAGTGCAGATAAGAAACATTGAGGGTCACAATTTGGATGGTGGCAGTGAGCCACTGATCAGTGCTGCTCGGCTGAGAAGTCAGTTTAGGAGCCATCACCAGACTGTGGAATTAGGTAAAAATCATTCAGGGTGAGTGGGAGGAACTAGTGAAGAAAGGGTAGAAGGGGGAAATCCTAAGAACCCTGACATCAACATCCCAAGACAAGCCAAGAACAGAGATCAGCCAGAATTAGTAGAAAGAAAAACCAGGGTCAAACATGACCATCTGTTTACCGTTTGTGAATTCTGAGAATGCATTTTCTATAGCAGTGTAGATGCAAGCCACACTGAGGTGGAGCTTAAAGAGATAAGAGATTAAACAAGAGGAGCAGAAGTGAAGGACTACTCTTAAGAAGCGGAAGAATGGAGGACAGTATTGGAAAGATATCAAAGCAGATTGGGGAGAAGACTTAGAAGGAGAGAGGAAGAGATGATAAAGCGAAGACAGAAGATAGAAAGGGATGTGTGAAGAAAAGAGTAGAGAGAAACAGGAAATCACTCAGAGGGACCATGGTAAAGAGAATGCTGAAAAATGAGGAAGTTCTGATCCTTAGTCCAGTACTTCTGTTGACGTCTTTTATCTTTGCCCTTTGAAATCTGATTAGCAGTACTCAATATTCACATGGCTTATCCTGAAAACTTGAGAAATTTTACTCTAATGAATTAATCTCTAACTTGCCAACTAGTGACCCCAGCAAATATCACCAGGTGAAACCATATCAACATAACTGTAGCTAGCAGCAGTAATTCTAACACCTTTAAATTCTCCCTAAAAGTGGTTTCCTTATTTTATATCTAAAAAAAAAAAAAAAACTACAGGTAACAGTGGAAACAGCCTCTCTGAGACTAGTCCCCCTGAGGGCCAGTTAGTAAATTAGGATTATATGAGGAATTATACACAGGGATGGGTCAATAGAGACCACTCACTTCTTTCCTTGAATGGCTGGGTGGAGTGGGAGTGAGTGGGAAATCCATCCTCTGAAAATAATCATTTGGACCAAATGACTGAAGTTATTGATTCAGACTCCATGGTGAAGAGAGCCATTCCTTACTTTTCAGAGGAGAATTTGTGTCTGCAGTTGTCTTTGAAGTCGGAAATGGAGCTGATATTCTAGAAAATTACTATGGTGGCCACAGCAATAAGGTGATAAGGAAAGGTACAGAGTAGTTCACATAAGTGTCAAGTCCAAAGGCCCATACAAACTCAAACATAGGGGGACTATTACAGGAATATAGAAATATGTATGGGCAGGATGCATGTTGCAATATTGCTTATAACAATGAAAACCTTGGATGCACTTAAATGGCACTTAATGTATTTAATCAGAAATTTAAATCTATTAAGTTACATTCATATAGGGGTTTGTGATGGAGTCACCAAAACTAGAAATGCTAAATGAAGAATAGCCATTGTCTGAGAACTTATTCTATGCCAGGAACATCATTTGATTTATCTAAAACTTGGCAACAGACTTTTAGAATGCTGTTCATGTGATTTTATTGAGACACCAGGCATCTGAATAATTTATCCAATATCACACCACTAGTGGTTGGCAGAGTCAAGATTAGCATCCAAACGGTATTCTTCTACTCAGGATAACTTTCATTGTAGGTGTATAAATAGTAATATTGGAAGATGGTCAAAGCATAATGAGAAAAGTAGGTTATAACTGTATGATTTTAAATGCAGTTTATATGCTTATATATGTTTGCAAAGAAAAGCATCTAGAAGAATGCATGCTAACCAATTTATCAGCCATGTGAGCTGGGTGTATTTTCTTGATTTTCATCTTCTTTTGCTTATAGGTATGTATTTTCTGAAACCTATATATTATTCTTTAAATATTTTTTATTTAAAAAAGTAGAAGAAAGAGTAAAAGAATAGATCAGAAACCAAGCACACAGAAATCAGGTCGAATGTAAAAAGAAAGACAATAATGGTTCAGGTGAATTAATATAAGAAGCCAGAAAGGAGAGCCAAGAAGGATGAAAGAATATTAAGTAAATTGATAGCACTGCTCTTCTAAGGGCCAGGCACCTTGATCTCATGAAGTTGACCTTGTGCCCCAACTGATGATGTGTTTCAGAAGCAGTACCATTTCCTGACTCTGGGATCTTCTATCTCTGATACGACTCTCTTTCCTTTTTCTTTTCCCCGAAACAAAAGAGTTCCGCTTTACTTCTTAAACTCAATCTTCTGAACCAGGAATGAAGAACACCAAAAAGTTCTTAGGTTGTTAACCTGTTTCTTTGCTGTAGGTGACACTGTCTGACATTCAGTCAAGCCATGGGTTTTGGACACCCACCATGTGATCAGCACCTGACTCAGTACTACAGGATTACACATGAACCATGCGTTACCGTCCCTAACTTGACAGAGTGTATAAGCTAGTTGGAGAGAAAAGATTATAGGGAATAGTATAAGACAGTCTGTGTACATGCATGCTAAGTCGCTTCAGTTGTGTTTGACTCTGTGCGGCTCTATGGACTGTAGCCTGCCAGGCTCCTCTGTCCATGGGATTCTCCAGGCAAGAATACTGGAGTGGGTTGCCATGCCCTCCTCCAGGGGATCTTCCCAACCCAGGGATCAAACCCATGTCTCTTATCTCACCTACAGTGACAGGCAGGTTCTTTATCAATAACACCACCTGGGAAGCCCATGACAATCTGTAATGAAGGGATAAAATGATGTATTTTGAGCTCCACTGCACCTAGACTAGACCCCAGGGATGAAGCCTGGGGCCAAAGCGACAAAGGACCGTGATCCACCAGGTCAAGGGTGGAGGTTTGGTGTTGTGTGTGTGATGGAGGTGAGAAGGACAGTCTTATGGGGTTGACGCAGTGGCCAAGGCTTTGAGGGTGACTCCAACAATCAGGATAGGCCGAAAGACCATGTGACGTGTATGTCTTATTTCAATTTCAGGACACCTTATATTGAAAGTAAGGGTGTCATGCAAGTAACTTGGTATTTGTGTTTTTAACTCTCTGTAACCAATTTTGTAAAAGAAAATTTCCTAAAATGAGACCAGTGAACCACCCTATAATATATTATCAGCCCTGTTATGACTGTAGAGGTGAAAGGTAGAAAAATAAATGAAACATCATTGTGTCCACTTTGTCTGCTTTCTGTTTGTATTAAATTTAGGTGAGATCCTTCTTTGCCTGCTATAGTAAAACCTAGGATATTTATATATTTTTATTTTCCTTTCTAAGAAATAACTTTTAAGCTATACAAATTAATATACAATTACTGAAGAAGTTAGAAACAACAGATAAGCAAGTGAAGAAAAGAGTAGCTCCCCACCATCTTAGCAGCAAGAGATAAAATTATTCACATTTTCTTATAAATCTGACAGCTTCCTTTTGTACATGCTATACATTTAAGTTGGTTCTTGTCTGATTTCTTTCTGATTTTTTTCAGGGGCAGTGGGTGATTGGATAAACTACTTCACTTCAAAGCAGAAGAGAGTATTTGATGAACTATTCACAGAGAAAATGAAGCATAGTGAACTAGCAAAACACTTTGAAGATTACTCTTAATATAAATGGGAAATGAAACCAATTTCCATTTTATGCAAGGCAGTGCTTGGGGAATACATAAATATTTTTCACCAGTGTGGAAAGCAGATATTTCTTGCAGTGAAAAACAGACACCTTATGAAAAAGTGTCATGTGTGAGAGACAATTATTAGCCTATTTGGGGATAGATAATTACTAAGAAAAGGAAGTATACAATTTTTGCATGGCTGAATTATATGTCTGCTTTCAGGCTATTCATAAGACAAGGAGATTACTTTTATTTAGAGATAGAATATTACTGTGGGTGTTCTATAATCTGCATTAATGTACAGCAAAAGAGGTGTGGGGTTAACCAAAAAAAACAAATGTCTGACAAGAAATTATTTTCTGCCTATTTAAACCATCATGACCTCTAGACAAACATTTTTTATTTCAACATTCCCCAGTGTCTGTGTAAAAATATTCTCCAGTGTCATACAATGACAGACATCATTTTATTAAGGAGAGAACTCCTAATAGATTATCTTAAATGATAGTCTGGTATATTAGTGAGGATGAAGAATGAAAAAATATTCTTTACCTTTAAATTCACACTGGCTTGACATTCCAGTACTTTCTTTATCTTTAATAAAGTCAAATTACAAAATGTCTTACTTTTCAGTTTTGAGAAGCATGTTTCCTTGAATTATGTATGATTTTTTTACAGTATTTTGAATATGTAGGCTTTCTCCCAGAAGCATTTTTAGCATTAATACAATTTCCATAATTTTCTCCTGTAATGAATATTATTCTGTAGGTTTAGCCTAGAGGACATTCTAATGAAATTTCAGTGAACTTATTTTAGGATTATTACCTAAATGACAAAAGACAAGTTTTGAATATCTATGGTATGTTGTTTACACCTTGGCCGTATTATCTAATTCAAGGCTAAATGGAAAATCAAAACTGTGTACTGTATATAACTCTGAGCTATAAATGCAAAGCCAGGGATTGAGTTGTTAATTCAAACACTTTGATTGTGTATCTCAATGTATTGTTAATCATTTTTGATAACTTTTGGAGTCTTTGTGGCAAGTTTATCACAATTCAATAACCATTAGATTTTGATCAGTCTTCTCTATAGACACACTTGGTATGAATAAAATGTATTCCTTTGGACTTTATGCAATTCAGATTTTTTTTTTTCAAAATTAAACACTCACAGAAATCTACTTCAACACCTCCCTTTCCTAAATAAATAAGGTTAGTGAATGAGAAAGGCAATCAGGTATGATTTTGGTCAAGTCTTTATCTTCCTGTTGGAACTAAATTCATACTTAACTTTCCCTGATGTTAATGTACAGAGAATGACTAAGTCATCGGAATAAGGCAAAGAAAATCTAATGAGACTGGCAAGAGGAGAAGACAATGACTGTGGTATTCAAGGCACCAAATTCCATGAGGCTGTATCATCTTCTCACGTTGAGATAGTCACTGGGGGACTTCACTGGAGGTCCAATGATTAAGACTTCAGCTTCCAATGCAGAAGGTGCAGGTTCGATCCCTGGTCAGGAAGCTAAGATCCCATATGCCTTGTAGCCAAAAAACCAAAAATGTAAAACAGAAGCAGTATTGCAACAAATTCAATAAAGACTTTAACAATGGTCCACATCAAAAAAGCAAAACAAAGCAAAACAAAACCATCATTGAGATGGAAAGAACTGAAATAGGACTTTATTTGATATGTTTGGGATCATTGTAGTCCAGTTTTGGTAGGAAATTGTTTAATATCAATTATTTAAAGTTGTAACCAAGAGCCTTGATTCATTCATCACTATCAGTCAGGCAAAAAAAAAGTTTTTGGAGCATAGTCTATGTTCCAGGCCTTATTGTAGACAATAGGGACACATGATGAACTTGAAAAAGCTCTCAAGATGTTTACATTCTAGTTAGAATAAATATATAATTTTTTTAAAAAAGTAAACATTTGAGATATGCCAGGTACCAATATGTTCTCTAAAGGCGATAAAATGAGGCAATGTAGCAAACTGACAGCAGAGAGGCCTAAGCTGCGTGTTGGGTTGAGGACCCCTAGGAGGCGATGTAGGAGATTCAATGCGAGTGATGAGTGGGGCTCCCTGGGTTTGGCGGCATGGCAGGGAATTGTATTTTGTGCTAGATGGGAGATTTCCCATAGAGGAGTGAAACATCCTGATGGACCCTTTCACAAGATCAATCTGATGACTAGATGGAGGATGGAACTAGGGTCAAGGTAAGAGGCAGGTACAAAAGTCTAGTAGGGGTGTAGGGGTGTAGGTCAGGGAAGAGGGACTCATGGATAATGTAGCAGTGGGAATGGTGAGATATGGTCAACTTTAGGACATAACATGGGTATTGAAATAGCTCACCTGTTATAGAAATAAAAGACAGAAAGGAATAGAAGATGAAGCCTAGATTTTTGGCTAACCAGCTGAGTATATAAGGAACTTTTTATTTAGATGAAGGTTTGATAGCAGCATGATTTTGGTGGTGGCAATGGGGGAGCTAAGGATCAAGACCTCTGCTTGGACCATGCTGTTGGAAATGTCTATTAGATACCAGGTAACTGGTAGGATAAGGTATGAAATTAAAAGACACTTGCTCCTTGGAAGAAAAGCGATGACAAACCTAGACAGCTTATTAAAAAGCAGAGACATTACTTTGCTGACAAAGGTCCATCTAGTCAAAGCAATGGTCTTTCCAGTAGTTATGTATGGATGTGAGTGCTGGACCATAAAGAAGGCTGAGCACCAAAGAACTGATGCTTTTGAACTGTGGTGTTGGAGAAGACTCTGAGCGTCCCTTGGACTTCAAGGAGATCTAACCTGTGCATTCTAAAGGAAATCAGTCCTGAATATTCATTGGAGGGACTGATGCTGAAGTTGAAGCTCCAGTACTATGGCCACCTGATGCAAAGAACTGACTCATTAGAAGAGACCCTGATGCTGGGAAAGATTGAAGGCAGGAGAAGAAACGGATGACAGAGGATGAGATGGTTGAATGGTATAACCGACTCGATGGACATGAGTTTGAGCAAGCTCCGGGAGATGGTGAAGGACAGGGAAACCTGGCATGCTGCAGTCCATGGGGTCTCAATGAGTTGGACATGATTGAGCAGCAACAGTAAAGATAATCTCTCTGATGATTGTGGTGCTGTTCCCAGGGGCCAATTGGGTGATTTAAGAAGGTGGGGGAAAAATCCCACCATCCAGATTTGTGTGGGAGATGCAAAGGCAAATGCCTATCCTGTGACAGCACTTTCAGTTTCAAATATACCATTTAAGTGAATGTGAAAAAAAAAACCCAAACCGTGGTCCCACTGAACGTGTGCTAGTGGAGCAGACAAGTGAGCTGAGCTTCCCCCCCGCCCCCGCCATGTCCCTCCTCCTCTTCTGCCGCTCCCTCAAAATACTTTGTGAAAGGTTCTATCTGACAAAACTGTAAAATTAAAGCATTGCAAAAAAAAAAAAAAAAAAGGTGGGAGGCATGGAAGTTTGGGCCCATTTAGAAGATTTACAGAGCATCTCGTAATGAGCGTCTGCATGATGATGGCTATTGCTGGAGATGGACTGTAGGCTAATTGCCACTGGGGGTTTCACCATTTCAGAGATAAGTTCTGGATCTCTCTCCCTGAACTCTGACCCATACCACATTGCTTCTTTACTTCCTTGAATCTGGCAAAACAACTTATATCCATTCCCTCATCCAAATTGCTCCCCACTACTCCCTTATGGATTCCCTTGTCTTTTATTATTTTTTAAATTTTTTGCTCTTTTTCCTCCATTTCTCTGCTCTACCCTTTCTTCTCTGTAGTTAACACATCACTGCTGGATCCTAATGATCTTTCTTTGGTTTCATTGGAAAAGACCCTGGGAAAGATGCTGGGAAAGACTGAGAGGGCAGGAGGAGAAGGGGGAGACAGAGGATGAGATAGTTGAATGTCATCACTGACTCAATGGACATGAGTTTGAGCAAGCTCCAGGAGATGGTGAAGGACAGGGAAGCCTGACCTGCTGCAGTCCATGGGGTCACAAAGGGTTGGACATGACCTAGCGACTGAACAACAACAGGTTCATTAGGAGGCACTGTCTCATTTCCATGTATTTGTTTGTACCTTAAAGGCTTTTCACTCCATTATTGGTTTAACACCAGCTCTGAGAAACTCTCTCTGAAATTCCCCTTTCCTGCCCCATTGTTTTTCCTTTCTTCCTCATTGGCTCTTCAGTGACCCTTTACTTACATATTACTCCCCACACTTAATAATTCAAGCTTTGTATTACTAGGTAAATTATATTGTAGTTTATAAGGTTCCTGCCAGTTAGAGTCATGGCCTGTCCATTTCTGTATCCTCTACCATACCTAGCCCGTGACATCACTCATCATAAAGGTGTAACTAATGTTGCTTGTCAATTGGATTTATGGACCAGTTTAATTTTACATCTTCCGGGAAATTCAGTTACAGTACCATTATCCACTTTGGTCCTATTTTTGTATTCTCCTATTACTTCATGCTTGCATTAGTCAGTTTTGTTTATACCTATTTCCTTCAATTATTACTTAAGTGTTTCACATTAGGCAAGTCTTTCCTTCTCAATTTTATAGTAGACTTACAAAGAGTTTGTCAAAAGCTTCTTCAGTAACCGATGCAGTGTTGATCTCAGAAATTATTCAGTAAGGGTGGTTTGAATGAATTAGTGAATAAATGATTTAAGGAGTGAAAACACATTCCTGTCTATCTACCTGCTCAGCAGTAGGCATGAATGCTTAGAGTCATATTTAATTCTTTGCTTTTCCACTACCTTCCACCTCAAACCAGTCAAAAAATACTATTGATTCTTGCTTTTCAGTCTCTCTTAATCTATTCTGCATGCAATGGAAGACTTTGTCAGTCTTCTCTCAAACATTAAATAAGCAAAGATAAGTTATAAATGATAAGAACAGCTTACCACCTACAGGGTAACTAAATCTCCTGGAGAGGTCTGTGGAGATACAATGTGTGTGCT